GGAGGAGGGGGACTCAGGCCCCGCAGGAGGAGGGGGAGTCGGGCCCCGGGGCGCCCCATGGGGGGAGGGGGAGTCGAGCCCCGTGGTGCCCCGCGCGAGGAGGGGGAGTCGGGCCCCACGTGGGGGGGGGAGTTGGGCCCCGGGGCGCCCCGCGGGGGGCAGGGCAGGCAGCGGCACACACGGGAAGGCAGGACGCCACCACCAGGCTGGCTGCCTGCACCAGGTCTGGCCCTTTGCCCAGAGCCAGCTTGTGCCCAGGGGAGGGGCTGGGGGCCGGCTGAGCCCTGGGGAGTGGGAGGGGGAACGGAGGGAGGCTGGGGGCTGGCTGAGCCCTGGGGAGTGGGAGGGGGAACGGAGGGAGGCTGGGGGCTGGCTGGGGCGAGCTGGCCATGCCATGGGGGAATGGGGGAAGGAGGCCGGCTGACCCTGCAGCCCAGCAGGAGTGCCCTGCACCGCAGGGATGGCTGATATGTGGGGGCCCCAGAGAGGGGGCTCCCCATAGGCACCTGGTCCAGCCAGGGGCTGCCTCCGTCGCCGTGGCCTGTTTCTATGGGAGCGGTGTGGGGTGATTGGCACAGGCGCTGCAGGGGCAGCCGGGGGGCAGGGGCCCTTACCATAGGTAGGCGATGACTCCCACGGGCCTGCCGAGAGAAGGTGATGGTTACAGGCCAGTGGGCGCCAGCCCAGGAGCCCGAGGCCCCCAGCCCCCCGGCCCATGACGGGGGGTGCACCTGGCCCAAGTGCAGCAGGGGCGGGGTCCTGGACTCACTCCAGGGCCTGCCCCCCGCCATGCTCCAGCCCCCCAGGGTTCCTGAAGAGAAACCCCTCTGTGTTTCCTGGGGGTGCAGGGTCCCCGACCTCACCCCAGCCCCTCCTGTGGGCGTCCTGCACCCACCCGCCTCCCGACCAGGGTCCCATCAGGACAGCCAGGGTTCCCGGGGGGGGGTTCAGCCCCCGCCCCAATTGGCTGCTGGCCGGGGGCCGTTACCAGACGTCGGTGACGATGGACACGGGGCTCTGGCTGACGATCTCCGGACCCACGAACTCGGGGGTGCCGTACTTGCAGTACTGGGCCCCCTCCGGCGCCAGCCGCTGCGCGTTGCCAAAGTCGCAGAGCCGCACCTGGTCGCTGCTGCCCATCAGCAGGTTCTCCGGCTGCAGGAGAGCCGGGGACAAGGGTCAGAGGGAGACGGCCCAGGCGAAGGCCCAGCCGATACCGGGGGGCACAGGGCAGGGCGAGGGCCCAGCTGGGGGGCGGTACCATGGGGGGGCACGGGGCCCTGGGACTGCACGGCAGCCAAGCCATGACCTGCCAGAGCTGGGTGGGGGCAGGGGACGGAGCCCCCAGCCCAGATGCCCTGGGAGAGCCCAAGCAAAGAGAAGCCGTGGCCCAGCACGGCACTGCAGGGGAGCCTGGAGCCAGCCCCACTTGGGCACCGCGCTCGCTTGTGGGGGGGAGCCGTGGGGGGGGTTCTGCACTGCGCTAGCTGGGGGGGCTGGCGGGGGGGGGGGACTCGCTCTGCCCCGCGCTCACCTTGACGTCCAGGTGCAGAATGCTGCAGCGATGCAGGTAGCTAAGCCCCTCCAGCAGCTGCCGCATGTAGGAGCGAACCTGCGGGAGACAAGGCCGGTGAGCCAGCCCCGCCGGGGGGCAGTGTGCAGAGCAGGCCCCACGAGCAGGGGACAGGACCCAGGTTACTGCCCCGGTGACGCCGTAGGGAGCCGGTCGGACTGACCTGGGGATGTCGTCTGGTTTTACTGGACTGTCTGCATGGGGGCCTGGAGAGCAGGGGGTGACTTTAGGTGAGGGACGTACCTGAGCCAGGAGGGGGGTGGGGCCAGGTGACACCTTGGCCCGGGAAACTGGACAAAGGGAGAGGAGGAGCCGGGAGAAGGGGAGTGAGACGGCGGGGGGGGGGGTTCAGTTCTGGGCTGGCTGGGAAGAGGCAGGGAACCCCAAGCCAGGGGTCTAAGGTCCCTGCCCCCCAGAAGGGTGACCAGACGGCAAGTGTGAAAAATCAGGACAGGGCGTGGGGGTTAATAGGAGCCTATATAAGAAAAAGACCCAAAAAACAGGACTGTCCCTATAAAATCGGGACATCTGGTCACCCTATCCCCCAGAAGGACTCGGCTGTGGGGTCCTGGTTGTACCTACAACCCCTGCTTGGGACCGTGTTCCTGTCGTCTAATAAACCTTCTGTGTTACTGGCTGGCTGAGAGTCCCTGGGACTCGCAGGAAGTGGGGGTGTGGGGCCCTGACTGTCACGGAGTATTGGGGAACTCAGGGCCCTGCACCCCCGGCTT